CTCACTCAAATAGAAGGTAGGAAATATATTCATCTAGTGAACGTAAGGGTCTGAAAGGTAACTAACGCACATGTGTAGAGAAAATGGTGCATCGGCCAGTCTGGCCGGCATTTCGCACTTATAGTGCAAGTAGGGCCAAGGAGAACAGAAACGCTCATTTCTCAAAATGAAAAGGGAATCGAGCGGTCCCACTCGATCAGAAGGTGGGAAGTATATAAATCTAGTGAGCTAATAAGGTTCGAAAGGAATCTAATGCATATGTATATGGAAAGTGGTGCATTGGCCAGGTTGGTCAGTATGGGAACTAAGAGTGCAAATGCCTGGGAGAACGGAACCGCTCAAATCTCGCATAATACACGGAATCTAGTGGTCTCACTCAAATAGAAAGTAGGAAATATATTCATCTAGTGAACGTAAGGGTTTGAAAGGGTAACTAACGCACATGTGTAGAGAAAATGGTGCATCGGCCAGTCTGGCCAGCATTTCGCACTCATAGTGCAGGTGGGGCCAGGGAGAACGGAAACGCTCGTTTCTCAAAAAATAGAGGGAATCTAACTGTCTCACTCGATCAAAAGGTGGGAAATATATAAATCTAGTCAGCTAAAAAGGTTTGAAATGTATTCAACGCACATGTATAGAGAAAATGGTGCATTGGCCAGGTCGGTCAGTATCGGAACTTAAAATGCAAATGCCAGGGAGAACGGAAGCGCTCAGATCTCGCATAGTACACGCAATCAAGTGGTCTCACTCAAAAAGAAAGTAGGAAATATATTCATCTAGTGAACGTAAGGGTTTGAAAGGTAACTAACGCACATGTGTAGAGAAAATTGTGCATCGGCCTGTCTCGCCGGCATTTCGCACTTATAGTGCAACTAGGGCCAAGGAGAACGGAAACGCTCATTTCTCAAAAAGGAGAGAGAATCTAGTGGTCTCACTCGATCAGAAGGTGGGAAATATATAAATCTAGTGAGCTAATAAGGTTTGAAAGGAATATAATACATATATATATGAAAAATGGGGCATTGGCAAGGTCGGTCAGTATGGGAACTTAGAGTGCAAATGCCAGGGAGAACGGAAGCGCTCAGATCTTGCATAGTACACGGAATCTAGTGGTCTCACTCAAATAGAAGGTAGGAAATATATTCATCTAGTGAACGTAAGGGTTTGAAAGGTAACTAACGCACATGTGTAGAGAAAATGGTGCATCGGCCAGTCTGGCCGGCATTTCGCACTCATAGCGCAGGTGGGGCCAGGGAGAACGGAAACGCTCGTTTCTCAAAAAGTAGAGGGAATCTAACGGTCTCACTCGATCAAAAGGTGGGAAATATATAAATTTAGTTAGCTAAAAAGGTTTGAAATGTATTCAACGCACATGTATAGAGAAAATGGTGCATTGGCCAGGTCGGTCAGTATCGGAACTTAAAATGCAAATGCCAGGGAGAACGGAAGCGCTCGGATCTCGCATAGTACACGCAATCAAGTGGTCTCACTCAAATAGAAAGTAGGAAATATATTCATCTAGTCAACATAAGGGTTTGAAAGGTAACTAACGCACATGTGTAGAGAAAATTGTGCATCGGCCAGTCTGGCCGGCATTTCGCACATATAGTGCAACTAGGGCCAAGGAGAACGGAAACGCTCATTTCTCAAAAAATAGAGGGAATCTAGCGGTCTCACTCGATCAGAAGGTGGGAAATATATAAATCTAGTGAGCTAATAAGGTTCGAAAGGAATCTAATGCATATGTATATGGAAAATGGTGCATTGGCCAGGTCGGTCAGTATGGGAACTTAGAGTGCAAATGCCAGGGAGAACGGAAGCGCTCAGATCTCGCATAGTACGCGGAATCTAGTGGTCTCACTCAAATAGAAGGTAGGAAATAAATTCATCTAGTGAATGTAAGGGTTTGAAAGGAAACTAACGCACATGTGTAGAGAAAATGGTGCATCGGCCAGTCTGGCCGGCATTTCGCACTTATAGTGCAAGCAGGGCCAAGGAGAATGGAAACGCTCATTTCTCAAAAAGTAAAGGGAATCTAGCGGTCTCACTCAATCAGAAGGTGGGAAATATATAAATCTAGTGAGCTAATAAGGTTCTAAAGGAATCTAATGCATATGTATATGGAAAATGGTGCATTGGCCAGGTCGGTCAGTATGGGAACTTAGAGTGCAAATGCATGGGAGAAGGAAGCGCTCAGATCTCGCATAGTACACGGAATCTAGTGGTCTCACTCAAATAGAAGGTAGGAAATAAATTCATCTAGTGAACATAAGGGTTTGAAAGGTAACTAACGCACATGTGTAGAGAAAATGGTGCATCGGCCAGTCTGGCCGGCATTTCGCACTTATAGTGCAAGTAGGGCCAAGGAGAACGGAAACGCTCATTTCTCAAAAAGTAAAGGAAATCTAGCGGTCTCACTCGATCAGAAGGTGGGGAATATTTAAATCTAGTGAGCTAATAAGGTTCGGAAGGAATCTAATGCATATGTATATGGAAAGTGGTGCATTGGCCAGGTCGGTCAGTATGGGAACTTAGAGTGCAAATGCCTGGGAGAACGGAACCGCTCAGATCTCGCATAATACACGGAATCTAGTGGTCTTACTCAAATATAAGGTAGGAAATATATTTATCTAGTTAACGTAAGGGTTTGAAAGGTAACAAACGCACATATGTAGAGAAAATGGTGCATGGGCCAGTCTGGCCGTCATTTCGTACTTATAGTGCAAGTAGGGCCAAGGAGAACGGAAACGCTCATTTCTCAAAAAGGAAAGGGAATCTAGCGGTCTCACTCGATCAGAAGGTGGGAAATATATAAATCTAGTGAGCTAATAAGGTTCGAAAGAAATCTAATGCATATGTATATGGAAAATGGTGCATTGGCCAGGTCGGTCAGTATGGGAACTTAGAGGGCAAATGCCAGGGAGAACGGAAGCGCTCAGATCTCGCATAGTACACGGAATCTAGTGGTCTCACTCACATAGAAGGTAGGAAATAAATTCATCTAGTGAACGTAAGGGTTTGAAAGGTAACTAACGCACATGTGTAGAGAAAATGGTGCATCGGCCAGTCTGGCCGGCATTTCGCACTCATAGTGCAAGTAGGGCCAAGGAGAACGGAAACGCTCATTTCTCAAAAAGTAAAGGGAATCTAGCGGTCTCACTTGATCAGAAGGTGGGAAATATATAAATCTAGAAAGCGAATAAGGTTCGAAAGGAATCTCATGCATATGTATATGGAAAATGGTGCATTGGCCAGGTCGGTCAGTATGGGAACTTAGAGTGCAAATGCCTGGGAGAACGGAAGCGCTCAGATCTTGCATAATACACGGAATCTAGTGGTCTCACTCAAATATAAGGTAGGAAATAAATTCATCTAGTGAACGTAAGGGTTTGAAAGGTAACTAACACACATGTGTAGAGAAAATGGTGCATCGGCCAGTCTGGCCGGCATTTCGCACTCATAGTGCAGGTGGGGCTAGGGAAAAACGGAAACGCTCGTTTCTAAAAAAGTAGAGGGAATCTAACGGTCTCACTCGATCAGAAGGTGGGAAATATATAAATCTAGTCAGCTAAAAAGGTTTGAAATGTATTCAATGCACATGTATAGAGAAAATGGTGCATTGGCCAGGTCGGTCAGTATCGGAACTTAAAATGCAAATGCCTAGGAGAACGGAACCGCTCAGATCTCGCATAGTACACGGAATCTAGTGGTCTCACTCAAATATAAGGTAGGAAATATATTCATCTAGTGAACGTATGGGTTTGAAAGGTAACTAACACACATGTGTAGAGAAAATTGTGCATCGGCCAGTCTGGCCGGCATTTCGCACTTATAGTGCAACTAGGGCCAAGGAGAACGGAAACGTTCAATTCTCAAAAAGTAGAGGGAATCTAGCGGTCTCACTCAATCAGAAGGTGGGAAATATTTTAATCTAGTGAGCTAATAAGGTTCGAAAGGAATCTAATGCATATGTATATGGAAAATGGTGCATTGGCCAGGTCGGTCAGTATGGGAACTTAGAGTGCAAATGCCTGGGAGAACGGAACCGCTCAGATCTCGCATAGTACACGGAATCTAGTGGTCTCACTCAAAACGAAAGCAGGAAATATATTCATCTAGTGAACGTAAGGGTTTGAAAGGTAACTAACGCACATGTGTAGAGAAAATGGTGCATCGGCCAGTCTGGCCGGCATTTCGCACTTATAGTGCAAGTAGGGCCAAGGAGAACGAAAACGCTCATTTCTCAAAAAGTAAAGGGAATGTAGCGGTCTCACTCGATCAGAAGGTGGAAAATATATAAATCTAGTGAGCTAATAAGGTTCAAAAGGAATCTAATGCATATGTATATGGAAAATGGTGCATTTGCCAGGTCGGTCAGTATGGCAACTTAGAGTGCAAATGCCAGGGAGAACGGAAGCGCTCAGATCTCGCATAGTACACGGAATCTAGTGGTCTCACTCAAATAGAAGGTAGGAAATAATTTCATCTAGTGAACGTAAGGGTTTGAAAGGTAACTAACGCACATGTGTAGAGAAAATGGTGCATCGGCCAGTCTGGCCGGCATTTCGCACTTATAGTGCAAGTAGGGCCAAGGAGAACGGAAACGCTCATTTCTCAAAAAGTAAAGGGAATCTAGCGGTCTCACTCGATCAGAAGGTGGGGAATATTTAAATCTAGTGAGCTAATAAGGTTCGGAAGGAATCTAATGCATATGTATATGGAAAGTGGGAATCGAGTACTACTCGCATTACACCACAGTCCTCCCCTTGCGCAGCAAGGGTGCGGTCACTTAGGTGCTGATCGACTGGATCCGCGAGGCTCGTCTCCAGCTCAGGCAGAGCTTCGGCTCGGACTTTCCTGTTCTGCGGTTGCAGTCGGACAGAGGCGGAGAGTTCTCCTCTCGCCTTCTGCAAGACTACTGTCATGCACGGGGGATCCGCCAGACCTTCACGCTTCCGGCCTCTCCACAGCAAAATGGGATTGCTGAGCGCCGCATTGGCATGGTCATAGATGTCGCTCGTACGTCCATGATGCATGCGGCTGCCCCCCATTTTCTGTGGCCGTTCGCGGTGAGGTACGCGGCGCATCAGCTCAACCTTCACCCCCGGGTCTCTAGGCCTGCGATGTCTCCAGCCTTGCTGTGGACGGGGAAGGTTGGCGATGCGTCTGCGTTCCGTGTCTGGGGATCTCGGGCGTTTGTCCGCGACTTGTCTGCGGACAAGCTGTCCCCTCGTGCTGCTCCCTGTGTCTTCCTTGGCTTCCCCACTGACGCCCCTGGGTGGCAGTTTTACCACCCCTCCTCTCGTCGTGTTCTGTCCTCCCAGGACGTCACGTTCGACGAGTCAGTTCCCTTCTACCGTCTCTTCCCCTACCGTACTCCCTCCCCCCCCCCCTCCCCCGGATTTCCTGGTACCGGTTCCCCACCAGGTAGACCCCCTCCCCCCTCAGGTTCCTGCCCCCTCATGTGTGTCCCACGTAGACGCCGTTGACCCGGTCGAGGTTACTGGTGACTCTGGTGCTGCTGCGGGTGCTGAGCCTGGGGGTGCTGACGCTGGGGGTGCTGTGCGCGGGGGTGCTGAGCCTGAGGGTGCTGGGCCTGGGGGTGCTACTGCGGAGAGTGCGGAGCCTGGGGGTGCTGAGCCGGGGGGTGCTGTGCCTGGAGGTGCTGGGTCTGGGGGTGCTGGGTCGGGTGCTGCTGAGCCTGGGGGTGCTGAGCTGGGAGCTGCTGAGCCTGGGGGTGCTGCGTCTGGAGCTGCTGAGCCTGGGGTTTCTCCTGCTGCGCCTCGCCGGGAGCCCCTCTCTCCACAGGAGTTGCGCGAGTGGTTCGCTCGCCGCTGGAGGCGTGCTGCTGAGTCTGAGGGTGCTGCTGGGACTGGAGCTGGTGCTTCTTCGACCGTCGAGGGTGCTGGAGCTGCCGGTCCCGGAGCTGCTGGGCCTGCGGGCCCTCCTGGAGCTGGAGCTGCTGAGGGTGTTGGTGCTGAGCCTACTGCTGTTGGTCCTGCCGCAGGAGGAGTGGGTGGCGCTGGTGCTCTCGCTGAGGGTGCTGGTGCTGTCCCTGCTGCGTCTGGAGCTGCTGCGCGTCCTCGGCCGTACTTCGTTCCGCTCCTGCAGCAGGTTCTAGGTCTTTTTCCTCCAGTAGAGGGTCCACTGCCTGTCCAGTCGCAGTCCCTGCTGGAGCCTTCCTCTCCACTGCCTGCTCCCTCTCCTTAGACTGGTCCTACTGGAGGTCTTGCTGAGCGTCGTGAGCCTGTGTCTCGTCCTGCGTCGCCTGTTCGTGCTGCTCGCGCTAGTGGTCGCAGTTCGCGTCAGCGTCCTCCTCCTGTCCCTGGCACGCACCGGATGTCTTTGCGTCCGTCCACTGCTCCCCTGCGTGCCCCTTTGCCTTCCCCTCCTGAGTCCTCTCTTCCTGCGCTTGCTTCACTCTCTCGACTTCAGCACTGCGTTCTTGCAGGGTAGCCTGCACGAGGAGATCTGGTTGCGCCGTCCACCTGGCTTCACTGGGACTTTCCCTCCTGGCACCCAGTGGAGCCTCCGACGGCCAGTCTACAGTCTCCGCCAGGCACCGCGTGAGTGGCACGACACACTGAGGACTACGCTTGCGGCTCTTGGGTTTGCTCCTTCTACTGCTGACCCGTCGCTGTTTCTGCGCACCGACACTTCTCTGCCGCCGTTCTACATCCTCGTGTACGTCGACGACTTGGTCTTTGCCACAGCGGACACTGCTGGACTCGCCTACGTGAAGTCCGAGCTGCTGAAGAGACACACGTGCACAGACCTGGGTGAACTGCGCAGCTACCTTGGCTTGCAGATCACTCGGGACAGAGCACGCCGCACCATTACTTTGACTCAGTCACACATGGTGCAGCAGGTCCTTCAGCGCTTCGGCTTCACGTACTCCTCGCCTCAGGCCACTCCTCTGCCTACTCGCCACTCACTCTCAGCTCTGCCTTCGCATGAGTCCGTAGAGTCGAGTGGTCCGTATGCAGAGCTTGTTGGCTGCCTCATGTACCTGATGACCTGCACACGACCTGACCTTGCATACCCTCTGAGCATTCTTGCACGCTATGTTGCTCCTGGTAGACACCGACCAGAGCACATGGCTGCAGCGAAGAGTGTATTGCGCTACCTGTGCAGTATGTCGGGCATGGGGCTAGTGCTTGGAGGGCGCAGTCCAGTGGTCCTTACAGGCCACGCGGACGCTTCTTGGGCTGACGACCAGGCTACGCAGCGGTCGTCGCAGGGTTACACCTTCAGCCTTGGTTCCGGCTCTGTCTTGTGGCGGTCTACTCGCTCGTCTTCGGTTCTCGGCTCCAGTTGTGAGGCTGAGATCTACGCCGGGGCCATGGCTGCACAGGAGCTTCGCTGGCTCACCTACCTGATGACTGACCTTGGAGAGCCGCCTCGTTCTCCTCCAGTGCTGTACGTAGACAACAAGGCCATGCTGGCCTTGTGTCGAGAACAGCGCTTGGAGCACAGAACGAAGCACATTGCTCTCCGCTACTTTCTTGCTCGTGAGCTGCAGCAGCGTGGTCTGTTGCGACTTGCGTACGTGGCCTCTGAGGCCAACACTGCTGATGTGTTCACCAAGGCACTTGCGCCTTGTGACCATCAGCGCTTTTGTACCCAGCTGGGTCTTGTGCCTGTCTTGCCTCACTTGCTCTCTTCTTGACTTTACTTGTACTGTGACATATATATACCTGCTCTTGCTTGTCTTGCTTTATATATATGTCTGTACTCTTGCATGTGAACTGGCCTTTGGCCTTGCTCTTGTGCTCGGACTGTGTGGTGACTTTGTGATCCACCCCGAGCTTGCTTTGCGTTGCTTGACTGGTCTTGTGACCCCTTGTTCTCCCCCACTTTGCCTATGGGGGTGTGTCAGAACAAATAGCTTACTTGTTTGGGTAGGCTACAGTGGGGTATCCCATAGGGGGTACAACACAATTAGGGTTTCCTATTTGTACCCATTTCGTTCATAGTCATTTCATTCCTGTTCTCTTAGTTTCACAACGCTCATTTCTCAAAAAGTAAAGGGAATCTAGCGGTCTCACTCGATCAGAAGGTGGGAAATATATAAATCTAGTGAGCTAATAAGGTTCGAAAGGAATCTTATGCATATGTATATGGAAAATGGTGCATTGGCCAGGTCGGTCAGTATGGGAACTTAGAGGGCAAATGCCAGGGAGAACGGAAGCGCTCAAATCTCGCATAGTACACGGAATCTAGTGGTCTCACTCAAATAGAAGGTAGGAAATAATTTCATCTAGTGAACGTAAGGGTTTGAAAGGTAACTAACGCACATGTGTAGAGAAAATGGTGCATCGGCCAGTCTGGCCGGCATTTTGCACTTATAGTGCAAGTAGGGCCAAGGAGAACGGAAACGCTCATTTCTCAAAAAGTAAAGGGAATCTAGCGGTCTCACTCGATCAGAAGGTGGGGAATATTAAAATCTAGTGAGCTAATAAGGTTCGGAAGGAATCTAATGCATATGTATATGGAAAGTGGTGCATTGGTCAGGTCGGTCAGTATGGGAACTTAGACTGCAAATGCCTAGGAGAACGGAACCGCTCAGATCTCGCATAATACACGGAATCTAGTGGTCTTACTCAAATATAAGGTAGGAAATATATTTATCTAGTTAACGTAAGGGTTTGAAAGGTAACAAACGCACATGTGTAGAGAAAATGGTGCATCGGCCAGTCTGGCCGTCATTTCGCACCTATAGTGCAAGTAGGGCCAAGGAGAATGGAAACGCTCATTTCTCAAAAAGTAAATGGAGTCTAGCGGTCTCACTCGATCAGAAGGTTGGAAATATATAAATCTAATGAGCTAATGAGGTTCGGAAGGTATCTAATGCATATGTATTTGGGGAGTGGTGCATTGGCCAGGTCGGTAAGTATGGGAACTTAGAGTGCAAATGCCTGGGAGAACGGAACCACTCAGATCTCGCATAATACAAGGAATCTAGTGGTCTCACTCAAATATAAGGTAGGAAAAAATTCATCTAGTGAACGTAAGGGTTTGAAAGGTAACTAACGCACATGTGTAGAGAAAATGGTGCATCGGCCAGTCTAGCCGGCATTTTGCACTTATAGTGCAAGTAGGGCCAAGGAGAACGGAAACGCTCATTTCTCAAAAAGTAAAGGGAATCTAGCGGTCTCACTCGATCAGAAGGTGGGAAATATATAAATCTAGTGAGCTAATAAGGTTCGGAAGGAATCTAATGCATATGTATATGGAAAGTGGTGCATTGGCCAGGTCGGTCAGTATGGGAACTTAGAGTGCAAATGCCTGGGAGAACGGAACCGCTCAGATCTCGCATAATACATGGAATCTAGTGGTATTACTCAAATATAAGGTAGGAAATATATTTATCTAGTTAACGTAAGGGTTTGAAAGGTAACAAACGCACATATGTAGAGAAAATGGTGCATCGGCCAGTCTGGCCGTCATTTCGCACTTATAGTGCAAGTAGGGCCAAGGAGAACGGAAACACTCATTTCTCAAAAAGTAAAGGGAATCTAGCGGTCTCACTCGATCAGAAGGTGGGAAATATATAAATCTAGTGAGCTAATAAGGTTCGAAAGGAATCTAATGCATATGTATATGGAAAATGGTGCATTGGCCAGGTCGGTCAGTATGGGAACTTAGAGGGCAAATGCCAGGGAGAACGGAAGCGCTCAGATCTCGCATAGTACACGGAATCTAGTGGTCTCACTCAAATAGAAGGTAGGAAATAATTTCATCTAGTGAACGTAAGGGTTTGAAAGGTAACTAACACACATGTGTAGAGAAAATGGTGCATCGGCCAGTCTGGCCGGCATTTTGCACTTATAGTGCAAGTAGGGCCAAGGAGAACGGAAACGCTCATTTCTCAAAAAGTAAAGGGAATCTAGCGGTCTCACTCGATCAGAAGGTGGGGAATATTTAAATCTAGTGAGCTAATAAGGTTCGGAAGGAATCTAATGCATATGTATATGGAAAGTGGTGCATTGGCCAGGTCGGTCAGTATGGGAACTTAGAGTGCAAATGCCTGGGAGAACGGAACCGCTCAGATCTCGCATAATACACGGAATCTAGTGGTCTTACTCAAATATAAGGTAGGAAATAAGTTTATCTAGTTAACGTACGGGTTTGAAAGATAACAAACGCACATGTGTAGAGAAAATGGTGCATCGGCCAGTCTGGCCGGCATTTCGCACCTATAGTGCAAGTAGGGCCAAGGAGAACGGAAACGCTCATTTCTCAAAAAGTAAAGGGAATCTAGCGGTCTCACTCGATCAGAAGGTGGGAAATATATAAATCTAGTGAGCTAATAAGGTTCGAAAGGAATCTAATGCATATGTATATGGAAAATGGTGCATTGGCCAGGTCGGTCAGTATGGGAACTTAGAGTGCAAATGCCAGGGAGAACGGAAGCGCTCAGATCTCGCATAGTACACGGAATCTAGTGGTCTCACTCAAATAGAAGGTAGGAAATCAATTCATCTAGTGAACATAAGGGTTTGAAAGGTAACTAACACACATGTGTAGAGAAAATGGTGCATCGGCCAGTCTGGCCGGCATTTTGCACTTATAGTGCAAGTAGGGCCAAGGAGAACGGAAACGCTCATTTCTCAAAAAGTAAAGGGAATCAAGCGGTCTCACTCGATCAGAAGGTGGGGAATATTTAAATCTAGTGAGCTAATAAGGTTCGGAAGGAATCTAATGCATATGTATATGGAAAGTGGTGCATTGGCCAGGTCGGTCAGTATGGGAACTTAGACTGCAAATGCCTGGGAGAACGGAACCGCTCAGATCTCGCATAATACACGGAATCTAGTGGTCTTACTCAAATATAAGGTAGGAAATATATTTATCTAGTTAACGTAAGGGTTTGAAAGGTAACAAACGCACATATGTAGAGAAAATGGTGCATCGGCCAGTCTGGCCGTCATTTCGCACTTATAGTGCAAGTAGGGCCAAGGAGAACGGAAACGCTCATTTCTCAAAAAGTAAAGGGAATCTAGCGGTCTCACTCGATCAGAAGGTGGGAAATATATAAATCTAGTGAGCTAATAATGTTCGAAAGGAATCTAATGCATATGTATATGGAAAATGGTGCATTGGCCAGGTCGGTCAGTATGGGAACTTAGAGGGCAAATGCCAGGGAGAACGGAACCGCTCAGATCTCGCATAGTACACGGAATCTAGTGGTCTCACTCAAATAGAAG